GGATATGCTGCTTGTTTTAAATATTTCCTTGACATGTTGCCTTGTTAAATTCAATACTGAGCGAAATACAATGGAGAACATGGGTTTGATTACAAATAGTTATGCAAAAGGGAGCACATGACCAAAATCAGTGTTTAGATGAAATTATCTTATCCCTAGTAGGCTATCACAGGAATATATGTGCCCACTTGTATAGGAACCTATCACAAAGAAATACGTTACGATGTGTGTGCCTTAAAAATGTGGCCTAACAGTAACCAAGTAGGTGAAACCTTTTAGACAATGTAATGTAATTCTTAATCTAAGAAGTGCATGTATTCCTGTTATAATTTAGTGTTAATACAGTCAGTCTTACTTTCTTAGTTTATTTTTTCCCCAGTGTAACTGTGTTTATTGGGGCAAGTATAGTTCTTTTTTCCCTGCTGTTAATCTGATTTTTAATTAAATCTTGTACTCTTTCAGACCTTCATAACACTATTATTATTGATCTAGTAGGGTGATCAACAAACATCATTTACATCTTCCTGATTATTTCTTCTTAACCTTGACAATGTAAAATGAAAATTACAGTGTTTTCTAAAATCTCAGATGTGCCTTTTTTAGGTCTCATTTTCATTTGTCACCTTCCTTATATTAGAATGTTAAGGAATACTTCTCAGAAGGCTAAACTTCTGTCTTGAAAGACAGAGCAGAAGCTGTGGTTTCGTAGATTCGTGTGCAGTTTCTTTTTCTGTCATCTGTTTTTTACAACAGGAATGGTCTCCTCTATGCTGTCGTTCTTTAAGCAGAAAAAGGCTGAATGATGATCCTTTGATGCAACATGATATGCTGATCTCATAGAACAACAAATCCATATCCTGGTGTTTAGACCAAAATTCTCAGTGAGCTCAGAGTTAGCTGTTCCAACTCAGCGCTTTCTGTGACTCTCTTAATTTTTGGTTTTTGCCCTTTTATCCCTTTTTATCGATGAACTGATGTGGCTTTGATGAAGATTCACCAGAATCATACTAGAGTTTGCCTTTGCCTTTTTCATCTCCCGTTCACCCCATGAAGCTCTGCTGGGCTGCATTTCAGACCCATTATGCTCACAATGTTCTCTTCCACCATGGTGCGCGCACAGGTCACCTTACTGAGCGCTGTGAGAACAAAGGTTCATAACCAGCCACCCCGTGAAGAGATTTCTAGTAACTTACTGTTGCTTCTCGGGCTCTTTCTTGATATTTTTGTTTCAGACAAGCTCAAAGATAATTATTCCTTCTTCTTGGATTGAGAAAATTATAGTTTCATATTTTGGATGTTGGAGACAGTAAAGTAATAGAGAACTCGGGGTGGAGGGGTTGTCAGTTTTCACACAACTGTTAATCAGAAGTTAGAGAATTATTTTGGTGAACGGATCTTTTCACGTGCATTTTCTGTTGCTGCCATGTATTTCTTCCTGATAACTGTATGTAAATTGTATTAGCACTTTATAGAAGTAGCATGCATTGAAACCTTTACCAATTCTGAAGTAAATTTATGGTAACTGTTTTAAACCAGAAAATCAGTTTATTAATGTAGGAACTGAATTAGATATGTTATCCATACCACATATTATTTAACTAAAAAGAGGCTTACTTGGAGTCAGGAATGTATCTGGGAAAATGTACTTAACCAAAAGTCTCAGAGTTTGGGTTTTTTTTAAACAGAGTATTTAAGGAATATGTTTGGATGACTGGCTTGGATAAGTGCTGCTGGTTTTTTATGAGCAATTTGCTCATCTGATTTGACTTAAAGTTACAAAATACTATTACATGTCGTGGTAAGACAGCCTTACCAGTGGTAAAAGCTCATTTCTTTCTCTTCCGTTTTACCCAGTTACCACACTTTGTGAAAACACATGTACAGGTTTGTGCTTTCTTAAAAAAAAAAAAAAAATCTATTATTCAGAAGGTTTACAAGGAAACTGAGGAAGAAGGCACGGATGGTTGGTGTTTCTGAGATTTGAAGTAAATATAGCAGCTTGTTTAATAAGCAGTAAGTAACAGAAATTGACTGGATGTTTACAATAAAATTTCTTGCAGGATACTAGTGATGTTGTGAGTTTCAAAAAGAAAGAGAAGAAACAGGTGCTGGAGTATTAGATCCTGTTGTGTGAAATAGTAATATAAATTCTGGTTTGAAAAGTCGTTACACTGACCACCCTCACAGTGTGGGCCAGCCTCCTTCTGGTTTTGTTTGAGCAATCTGTCATCACACTTGATGTACCTACTGAGGATCATACTGGAATGCTTTTTGGTCACATGCTGTGAAGGAAATACCAAGTGATTGAGAAATAATACATTAATAAAGTACATTTCAAAGTAATACAGTTCTGAATGCCTATTGCAATTGAGGTCTTGGTTGTGATAGGAAGTAAATCAGATTCCTAAGGAGTCATAAGTTGGCCTGGAGTTGCATTCATCATTCTGACCTGCTCTGACACTGTTTCTGATGATGTAGAGTGGTAATGGGTTATTCCTTCCCCTCGCATGGATCATAATAGTGTGGCTTCATTCAGCAATATATAAGATCAATACTTTACAAAATATGCAATCCTAAAAAGTGTTTTATAAAGCACTATATAAATTTTATAAAAATGGATAATGTGAGACATTTATCTGCGCTCCATTAAATACCCGTCTATGTATGTTGAACTGTTCTGTTACCGATTCACATTTCCTGTATGAGTATTTATTGAGTTGACCTTTTACTGCATTTTACAAGAGAATATAGTGATACAAACTTGTTCAGTTGAAAATGCTAGGACATAGTCATTAACCAAAAATGTTGCTAAAACTTTAGATTCCTTTTGTTTTATATCTCAGATTTTCCAAAGCTTTACTGATGAACAAAACTTTTCCTTTTTTTACCTTTGCCTCAGAAATCCTGCCGAATGCAGCAGTAGGTGCATGGTTCGTGTATTAGCAGTAAATTAGGACTGCTTTATTCAAAAGAACAGTACCAAACTAGCTGGATTTAGGCACTGCTTTTTTTTTGGCACGATTACCATTGTATGGTGGACTTAGAACTTAGTCACCAGAGGGGTAGTAGAGATGGAACCAGCCACAGGTCACATTTGCTTCCATAGGTTTGCAGTGCAGGTTCTTAAGTTCACGTGTCTACAAAGCAATTTTTCTGTGGTGGTCTGGCACGGAATTTACTCTTAAATTATTTTTGACTTCCTTTTCATTGTTGTTCACCTCCCACACTCTTGGATGTATGTCTTCACTTGTGTCATGCTAGGTATTGGTCAGGATACCTACATAAAATATTTTGCATCTTTTGTTACTGTTTGAATAACCTTTTACACTTAATATAATTACAAAGGCAGTTTTGTTTTCTTAATCTCTATTCCACATATGAAGATGCATAAAACTTGTGTGCACATCCGTTACAGGAACACAGCAGTCACAGAAGCCATGGGGAATAGTTAGCATTGGCAAAAGAGAATTTATGTAGATGGAAGTAGCTTACTCTGAAGGTCATAATTAGTGAGTTTTGTGATTAAAATTTTGCCAACCTTTAAAAAAAATGTCTAGAGGCAGTGACTCATTGTATATAGCATTTACCTCTTTGACATACAAGCCTGTTATGAACAGGTGCAGAAATCTTTCTAAAAAGCTTCTGAGTCCTACTTCTGAAAAAAATGAGGCAAGAGGTGATTCGAGAGGGAGGTCCCCTTAGAATATGTCTAAAATAAACAAATGTGTCATATTAAAATATTAGAACTAGCATGGTGTTTTGCAAGGCCTATTCCCCCATTATTCTAGCTCTGATTTGTTTTTTAATAGTAGCATTTAGTTTATGTTCAGTATTACTGTCGGTGTGTCAGGATATGCACTTATCTGAAATCAATATGTTGAACCCACTGAGGTTCCCTAAAGCTCCTGAAACTGCCCTTCAAGTCAGCCAGAATGCTGATAAACTTAGAGGATTGGGTCTTCGGTAAACATTAGAATAATAATAAGAACAGCAAACTAATGTGAAAAGGAAGCAATTTCTTTTTCTCCAAAAATATTGCTTAAAATTCTTTCCCTATTCTTTCATGTTTTAAATAAACCAGAAAATACACAAAATACACCATCTTTATGAAGAGTTGGTAACTTGGTAACTCTTTGTGGAAGAGCTAACACTACTGAAATAAAACTGGAACTGAAAGTCATCTTTAGAGCAGTGGAATGGTCTCTGCCCAGCATAATGGACTCAGACCTTTACACAAGCCTATGGATATTAATAGAAAAAAGAAACAAAATATTTTGTAATATATTTTAATTTCCCAGGTGACTTGATATATTTTAAATTTAATGTGTCTATTATAGTATTATTATTTTTGTTCTTCATTATACCATTCTTATTTTTTATTTCTTTTGACTCATGTTGGTTTCCTGTTCTGAGTTTTTTGTGTTATATAGGGGCCTTTCATATCAGCTTTATTTGGAAAAGAATTACATAGAAGTGGTTTTGCATGCCCTGGTTATATAACTTTTTCGCAAACATGCTTTTCAGGCAAATAATTTAATCTTATTTCTTTTTCACTGATTGTAAAATACGCATAATTATAAAATGTTAAGAGTAATGTAACTGCAACTTGAGTAAACTTCCTTTTTTTTTTTTTAATCCTTCATTTTAATTAGTTTATAAAAACCTTTAATGAAACAATGTACTTCCATGCACAAACTGTTTTAGAAAATTTGAATCAGATGCAACTTTTTCATGCCTTCTTGATTATGGAATGTGTTATCATATGGTATTACACATTACATATGTAATATGTGTTTACCTATTTAAAACATTTTACAATATGTCACAGTATAGCTGAGAAAAAGTTTGCTATTTTCTCTTCTTTCATCAGAAGAAAAAGATAGGAAGGTAAAATGCACTTTGTGTCATATACGCTAGTGAAAAATACCTTGTGTAATGTAGACAAATCACAAACTGATCATTACAGCAAACACATTTAATAAAATTAATTATGTTTCTAGGTTCTATGGTTCCTTTCTCCATGCGGATTTTACATGCCGAACTTCCTCAGTACCTAGGTAATCCTCAGGAATCACTTGACAGACTGCATAGTATGAAGATAATCTGCACCAAGGTAACACCTTCTCTATGCACTAACATTTCTTAGTTAAGGAATATATTTTGTTGTCCATATAGGGAACATTAAGTTTCAACTATGACATTTTTCACTCCATCTTGATACAAATAAGGAATTCACTAATAGAAGTGATAAAGTGCCTCTTTCATTTTAGGATACATCCTTCTTTCCTCTGTGATAGCTCTAACTAAAATGAGTAGAACAGCAGACAACATAGTTCTCTTGCTCTCATGCTTTTGCCAGACAAGACATGGAGGAGAGTAAGCAGACGTGCTTAAGGGCAAGTAGGAGAGCTTTCTTCTCTCTCAGCTGCATCAAGGTAGCTCAAAACACAATTAATGATCTTGATCCTTCAAAAATAGTCTTAATCTTTCAGAAATAGTCCGAATATCTGGTTTTGGAAACAACAGTCATTTGGGAGTATAAATACAACCTGCTGAGCTTGTTTGGGGGTTTTTGTTTTGTTTTGTCAAGTGCTATAATACAAAATTATGGCCTAAATGATAACATGAGACTTGTCAGTGCTGAAATTGGAGTGATGTTGTGAGCACTAACCTTACCTACTCAACCCAACACCCTGACTGTTAAGCATTCATCCTTAAATGTTTTTTACATAATAAATCTTTCCCAAGTAGTCTAATGCAACAGTGACTATGAATGTTACAATATGGTCAACTCTAAAACAAGTGCAGCATTATCATTTTCTCTGTGACACTCAGAAGTTCAAACCTATGTATAAGATAAAAACATGTGATTAATTTTTTTTTTTTTTAGTATTTCTTGGATCTTTCCTATATTTCCTCCTGAAAATAACTTGGATAACAGAAGTAAAGTGATTTGATAATTGCTAATTGTGTGGCTGTAATGGCCTTATGTATATAAAATCAGTTTGCTTTTAGCCACAGTAGTGACTAGGATAATAAAATATTTACAGTAAAAAAAATCCAGTTCTTTGTATTATAAGGGGAAAAAAAGGTGAAAGGTTAAGGTAATAAGAGATGAATGTGGCATTTATTATAGAGGGTGGAAAGAATTGATTTGGAAACAGTTGAGAGAGATATCTAATTTGGCCAAGAAATGCTACGAATTGCACTTCAATGCAATTCAAAGACAACAGAATTCATTAATGCTGTTAACTGTTCATGAGCATCTCATCTAATATTACTGGCAGGCTGTTCTGTCTAGCCTTTTCCTTCATCAGCAGTCCTCCTCAAGTTGAAGTAAATTTTTTCTTCTAAGAAATGCCATACTCCTCTGTTGCAGGATTTCATAGTGCTTCTACTGACATTTGCCTGCAGATCAGCTGTTTCATACTTTGTTTTTATGCAATCTGGTATTAAGTGCTGCATTGTCTCCCCTCAGTCATGATGGTGCCACTAGATTCCAAAATATAGCTGGTTTCTAGCTTCCTTTATCTTGTAACAAAGAGAGAAAATTGTATGAATGTGAACGAGGAAGCGACTGCTGAGCAGGGTGTTCATCAGCCATCTGGCTAACTTTATTGAATTGGCCATATCTCAGTTACAGTGTGATCAGCCATGATTGTCCACAGATTAAAGATTATCAGTCAATAGAGGAATAAAAGAAAAGGAGTCATCTTGCAGTCATCTGCAGCCTTGAAGTGGCTCTACCTTCACTGTTTTCCTCGAAGTTCATATCCTTAGAGCATACCCATTGTACCAAGGAAGCTTTTAAACTATAATACAAGATTTTGTTTGAGTATGAACTATGCTGATGATTTGTTTAAATAAGGGAAACTGGATGTGCTGGAGAAGATGAAATAGAAATAAAGGAGATTTACAAATTAATATATGCATATTTCCTTGCCCTCTAAGTTCTTAAAGAACAGGTATGTTGACTCATGTTCTCACTCCATCAACTGCTAGTGGCGTAGGTCACTACAAATTCTGTATGATCCCTGTGCTTCTTTGAGGTTGGCCGTACATCTTCCACTAGCTGTTCTGAGGAGTGTACGGTTCTCTGCACTTGCTGTTGGTTCACGGATTGCCATCTCCTTCTCTCTGCCTACCTGTGTCTCAGTTTGCAAAGTTTGTCCTGGGTTAGTGTGTTCAACTGTGGTCAGAAAAAGAATGATCTCACTTTGCTTCTGACAGTTTCCACTAGAGCCAGAATGCAGTAGCTGGGACAAGCCATTGTCTGTGCTGATGGATGCTCCTTTTTAAAATACAGTACACAAAAAACTACAAACCTTCCCTCTCAAAGGAATATTTCTGATCAGTTATTCTAGACATCTCATTGCAAATTATTTCATTTGTTTGCATTCAATTAAATGCCTTGTCTTTTGGATCAATTCAAAGACAACTGTAGAAACGTGAGTATGAAAAAGGACAGCTTGTAAAGATAAATATGTTTCTAAAAGACAGTTGTGAATTGGTGATAATTTAACCATTTGAAGTCAGGGTTGGCTGACAAAACATTGTTTAGATTTATGTCTTGGAAGTTTGGGGGTTTTTTAATATAATGCTATTAGTCTAATAATCTCGATCTCACCTGGAATATTCAAGAATAAGGTTCATAATACTTATGAAAGCCCATGGCATAACCAAGAAAATAACATAAAGGATGTACACTCATTAGTCTTAATATTTGTATATGACACTTGGGAACCATTGGGGTTATAACAGAATTAATTGGGGAGCTTTCAACCAAAAACCTCTAGTGCTTTACTTCCCTATTTTAAAAAGTGGAAAAATAATCTTTGGTCATCTGTATTTACAGAAGGGCATACGAATAGTCATTATGTAAATTAGATGATCTTGGAGTCATAAAAGCTAGAAGAGAGAAAAGACCTATTAGCTCACCTAGTCTGTCTCTCTGCAACACAAGGTTGTTTTCTAGTTTTTAATGAGCCAGCCTATGGAGCTGAGGCCACATCCCTTGGGAGGCTATTCTGGGCTAATGCTAATGCATTCCTATCATAAGAAAATTTGTCTTTCTGTTTTGTTTCTCTTCCTTAATGTAATTGTGCTTTTTTTCCTATCTGATACTTCCTTTTAACCTGCTAAATTCCCTCTTGCTTTTTGTTATATACATTCTACAGACGCTTGCCAATTTTGGATTAGCCATTCAATTTAAAGACCTAACCATATTTATTTTGTCACTATTTTGGTAACACATTCTCTTCAGCCCCCATCTACTTACATATTTTTCGTACCTGAAGCAGGATTGGAAGTTGAGTGCAAAAATAGGATTTTCATTTTCACTGGATAGGGGAATGTTTTTAACTTTTCCGGTATTCCTGCAAATTTGTAATCAAGATCTGGTTGGATATTTTACATCTCTGTCTATAGGTACAACATCTGGAAAATAAATAATCTGTGGTACCAAATGCGTATTATAGCCTGGGGGAGGAATCCAGTGAAACTGTTACTGTCTCTTGTGTTATTGTCGGTCTTCCCAACATGAATTGCCTCAATGAGTTGTTGCCCTTATAAGTCCGCCTTGAAATAGACAGTCTCCAAACAGCCAAGCAGTAAGAGTAACAATAGTAATTTAAATCACAGAAGAGTTTGTTCTTTTCAAGTATTCATTTAAAAACATAGGCGTGATCACTTTAGTGCTAATAATGCTGAGGACATGCTAATAATTCTTACCTGGAGACCAAAATGTGAAAAGAACAACAGTCAGGCTTAATCCAAACTCCTCCCTTGTTTGTGCCTGAGCTTCCTAGATGATTGAGGGAGAGCCCCTGGAAATGCACACATTTCATAATGCAGCATATTTCACTTTTTAATCCTAATCCTTCAAGTGACAGATATGTACTGGGCTCTTCTACCACGTGGGTGAAGCAGTGGTAAGTGGGTTAACAGTCTTGCTTTCTAAAAAAGCCTCTGCAAGTGTTACCTCTGCAAAACTTCTCAAAAATAACTGTGACATTTGTCCATCAGCCACTCCCTCTGTAGTTCCGCCACTCTCCTTCATGAGTAGTTATGTTCCTCCCTGGCCCTTCCATACACGCTCTTCATATCTCCTGGTCTTTTGTTTTACTTCCAAATTAATGAACTTTTCAGTCTCTTAGCTACTGATTGGTTTTTGAGTTTTATTTTCATTCAACTTCCAGTTCTGGCTCAGTTACTAAGGCCACACAGTATTCTGATTCTCATACGTTACTTCAGCCTGGGGGGTATTTGTTTCATCGCCTTGTTTGATGAGTTTGTAGAAATGATATTCCTGCACCAGTCTGAGTACCCAAAAAGCCACAATTCCAGAAGCACCAAAAAATGTTATTTTGAGTCAGAAGCTAATGCTGGTGAAAAATTGTGGAAGAAGAAATAAAGTATTAAAGAGCTATGTAATGATAGGAAGCCAGGATTTTTAAATATTCCAAACAAGAAAAAGCATAGGTCATAAATAAAACTGATGTTTAAAGTAAACGGTAGAAGTGTTAAATCATATTTCTCTCTGTAATTGAAACAAGGATGTTTAGAGCTATCCCATGTAATATTGCTAGAATTAACAGTTCACCATCTGTAGAAAAGTGGGATGAGAGGATTTGCTAAAATTAAACATTTGATGTCAACTAACCCAGATAGCTTACAGTGAGGAACTACCTGAATCATTAATGTTATTATTAAACAATTCTTAGAAAACTAGAGAAATGCCCAAATACTGAAAAACTGCAGATGATGTTCTTATACTTAAGAAGGGCAAAAGGAAATAAACCTAGGGAATAAAACAATTAGCCTCAAATCAGCACCGAGTTCTGTTTTAATTACGTTGAGCTTGAGGTGACGGTTAGATATCCCCAAGTAATGTCACAGAATGGTTAATGTAATGCTCTAATTGTATGCTAATACTTAATTCTTTCTTTTTTGATGATGTTAACACATTTTCAGAGAAACCCATTGTCTTTTTAAACAAGACAGCATGTCTCATTGATGAAAGCACCTTGTTATGTTTAGACCACTTCAAGAGTAAGAACTTCAAGCCTTATTGAGAATGACAAGTGATCACTAAATGTTTTCAAGGGGAAGAGAAAGATCATGGTTTTTAGACTGGACAGAAAATAGATGATGAGGTGGTTTTGGTTTACGAGACAAGAATTTTTTTTTTTCTCTGACAAGGTATATCATTATACACTTGGCATTTAACACTGAAAAACGACGCTTTGGTTTCTAACTGATTTCTAAGTGGCCACGCTGCTTTTGAAAGTGGGATTGAGAATCAGTCTTGCAGGCGTGCCCCTGTGATCTCATAAATTGCTGCCTATCAACTAAGCTGCAGTATCTGCTGGTGTACGCTTACAGCCTCTCAGAATCTGAGGGAAGGCAACTTAGCCTAGCCCTCAGTAAACGAGATTTACACTAAATCATATTACCTTGTATTTGTCATGGGCTAACAATTCTTATCAGGAAAATTACCCTGGCTCAGCTGGCATGTGGTAGCTGTTGTCATTTCATCATATGTCTTTCCTTGTTCTTAAGTTCCTTGTAGCTAAATTTATGGCACCTAACTTCAAGCTCTCACTCTAGTTTGTGAAGAGCTGAGTATCCTGTAGGGCAATTCCTTCCACCTTAAGATATCTGAAAGAGGTGGCATGAACTGGCTTCCTGGAGATCCCAATTGCTCTTCTTTGGCTATAGAAGGTACCAACACGCAGTCTGAGGCCAGACTAATTCTACCTGTCTTTGCTTTGGAGGATTTACTGTGTTGTTTTTCAGTATTTGCTTACAAAGCACTGAGCACAACTGGAATGCTTTGCTGGTATAGGAAAAAACAATTACTTCTTTTACTGACAGAAGCTGAGAGCTCTGTGTTTGGAAGTGCACTCGGTCCCCAGAAGAGGCAGCGCTTTGTACTTCCCTAATCAGCTAACCACAGCAGCTCATTAAAGAGCAAGTGGCCTTAACATGTTTTTGAAGGAAATCTCAAGCATTGTTCTACAACTGGAATTATAAATCTGTAACAAGAAAAATGGGGTGATCTGTGGGAATCAGAAAACAAATTTGAAGCAACTGTAACGGGATTAGAAAGAGGAAAGTTGACTTGCATTTCAAATGGAACCCTGCATACGTATTTTAAAAGTGCTTAAGACGTAAGCTTCAGTAAGTACACATTTTCATTCTTCCAATAAAACAACAAATGTTGCATTCACTCAACAATTTACATGATTGAAAATCTATAATAAATAAAAAGAAGCAATAAAGCCCAAGCTTTGAGAAGGAAATTGCAGTAAGAACTAAGATGAGTACTTTATTAAGGAGAAGAGGATGAAACCAGAGCCCATACTTAGGGCGGGGGAGTCGAGAGGCAGTGGCTTTCTATGAAAAGTCAGTTTGACTTCCTTTGTGGTCATTGACATTCATTCTCTGGTGAAGCATATTTCATGTTTTGCTTAACAAAATGTGTATGTCCCTAGAGTGTGCTGACATTTAATGTTCAGTAAGTATCATAAACCCGAACTCTAACATCCTTCTATCGTACAATGTCTTTCTAACTTGGTTCACTTGATCTAGCTATGGTAATAATCAGTAATTTTGAGCTGCACCTAGGTGAAGCATTCCTGCTTAAATTGGTTTACATATAGGCTGTCAATTGTAGATCATTTGCATTAAATATGTAGTGCTATTTAAACTCATGTTGGTTACTTTAAAAAATTTACTGCAGATACTAGAAAATTTGGAACAAGGCTTAGCTGAAGATGGAAGTATGACTAACATTACACAGGAGAACAGACAAGGTATGTATTCTTTAAACATTTTTTTCACAGGCAGTGTGTTCTTATCACTTGTCTTAAGTATGCCAGAAGTTTTCACAAGACTGCCCCAGAGTTGGTAAAACAGTATTTTTGTAACCTCATAGCCTACTCAGCTTCTGAAATTATAAACCTTGTACTTTTATTTGCTGAAATTAATTTAACGGTTTTGCCCTTGATCAAACTGTTGCACTAAATCAATTTTTTTTCCTACTTGGAAGAAACAAAGAACATGGCTGCTTTCCTTTAGTGATGAATATAAAGTATTGCTGTTGCAGCTAGATGGATGTTTCATCCTCAGCATTGGCTGACTGGCTCCTCTCAGTCCTCATGTCTGAAATCCACAAAATTTTTTTAGATCAAACTGCCATTACACAAGGGCTACACTGGCCTAGGATGCTGCCATGTAGATGGCTGAGTCTCAGTGTAGCTGTGTGGTACTTAGACTCCTGAAATACCTAAGTCACTTTTTAGAATAAGATTTAGATTATATTAATCTAAATCATCATTTTCAGGATTTTATATGCAATAATGTTTTTTTCCTGTTCCTTCTTAGTTGTTTAACTTCAATAGCATAGGATACATCACAGCATAAAGAAGGGTCGTCAGGACAAATTAGTTGTCCAAACTTTTTTTTTTTTTAACAGAATTTATACTAATGAGGTCATTTGAGTACACTTAAAAATTGGACAAGAGGTGATATTTTAGGAATTGTTATGGATTATATGAACCACTCATGGTGCCTAGCAAGTTAAAAACATCTTACGAAAAAACCAAAAACCTTTCAGCTTCTGCTAACAGTCTAAGGAATCTTACCAACTTCATTGTAGGGTAACATTCAACTAGAGCCTGTGGGAAGTATAAGTCTTCCTCTGAGATAGGAGGAGGCCTAGTAGAGTTGTTAGCAGAGTTAAAAAATCATTATAAACAATTCCCTAAGACGGTGTCTATATGGAAGGGTGCAGACCTGTCTGAACTCTTCTGCCTGGTCTTCAAAGTCTCTGGATGTAAAGCAGCTTTAACGTGTTATTGTACTTGACTTACTACATCATCTAGAGATGCCCTGAAAAAGTGAACACGCATGTGAACAGCATATGTCATAATGGCATTTGCAAATATAGTTAAACTAATACATTTACTACTCTTCTCAAAAAGGTTAGGAAAAAGAGAAATAATCATGTATTGAAGATTTATCCACAGCGCTCCTGGAGTTTCTGTTCTTCTCTCCTTGTATCTACTATTCTTCTTGCCTGTGTTCTCCTACTTACTCTTCCCTGTTATCCCCTTTCTGCCATCATGTTTGTCCTTATCCCCACATACTTTTCCTTTTTACCCCTTTTAAAACCTAAACACTGATTGTTCCTAAGGTACAAGGGCTTTTTCCTGGCTGTGTTATAATCCTGTGTCCTGCAGTCTGCCTCACTCGTGAGTTGCTGGCTCCTTGCTTTTCCTCTCTGCTGCTGCTTTAGAGCTGAGATGATCTCAGGAGGAGGCATAGTTGGAAAAGAAGCCGCTAGTAGTTACCAGGGGACAAGGCTGCTGAAAATTTTGGGAGATCTTTGTATGTCTGCTGTGCAGCTGTCTGTAGGCTTAAGACTGCCAAAAGGCCCGCCGTACCTTTGCAGAGACTATTGACTGCTATTGTCTCTGGAGGTCAGCCAGGTCTGCTCCCTGGCTGCTTCTTCACTGCATTTAGAGCTCCAGGAGGCTGGTAATGGGTTTGGATTTTTTTCATGTGAGACTAGCTGAAGCAAACCTTATTAACTTCATATGAAGACGGCCTTAATTCATTATGGGAATTATGCTTAGCCTGTAATTTCCTTATTGCTGGTGTAAGAAGGTGCCACACCGATTGAGTTACCACATACATCTCTTCTAGTCTGGATCAGAGCACCTCATGTGCCAGTTTTTCAACAGACACAGAGATTTAGCTTTGCACCACTTGTCTGGTAACACATTCTAGAAGATGCCAATTTTGCAACTTCTCCAACTGAAATGAATGGCAGTGTGGAGTACAGAGTCCTTGATAAGTAACAAGGAAAAACAAATGTGTAGAGTGGAAGCATGGCTGCATGGATGTGCAGAGAGGCTTCAGGCATTTCAGTAAGGCTGTTGGGTTTTTGATTTTGTTTAGTGCTTTGCAGGTTTTCTTTAACCCCTTTCTGCCAGTGCTAAGAAGCCTCATCCCATAAGGCTATGGAATTTCCAGACCAGGTTACTCTTCAGTTTATGGCACAGACTGAAAACATCCAGTCTGTCTGCTTTGCAGTCCTTTCAGAGAACCATAGCTGGTGCTATTCAGTTGTTAACAGGAAACCTAGATGTCTGCACTGCAGGGATCAACATCTAATTTGCTGTCACCTAAATCCTAAAAAGCTGAATCTGATTATCAAACTATGAGGACATGCAAAAAGGAGGGAATAACATAGGTGAAATAATAAAAGATAGTTTTTTATTATATCCAGGTTTTGCAGACACCCACAAGGAAAGAAAAACAGAAATGTGTCCTAAAAATACTTGCTCATGGTTTACAGCATCCTCTCCGTTAATGTAGGGCCATGTGGCCAAAGGGGAATTTCTAAAACAAAAGCTAGGATTAATGAATGATTTTAAGGTACGGTGGATGAAATACTGGGTTGAGTCTTGGGCCCCACATTATGCCACTCTTTTGACAAAGATAATTAGGGAATATTCATGGGTGGGTTTTTTTGTTTTGTTGTTAGAGAGGATTGGAGGAGTTTTCCTTTTTAGGAAGGGGAGTAGACATTTCACCAAGCTCTCTTCTTCTTTGTAATGGCATTTATGTGTGCTGAAAGAATTATCTATGTGACCTGCCGTGCTTTCATCAGAGACTACATTACTGATAAAAATGAGTGGTCTCAATTATCACAATCTCATTGAAATGGCCTCTTCTCCCTTTCCTCCCCCCCCTTTCAAATCATTACAGTGACCTTGACAGCTGATTGACTGGGATACATTTATTTTCCAAATGTACTAAATTAATACTCCTAGCGTTTATTTTTGAGGATTAGAGGAATATTTCTAGCATTGATCTATGGTACTGTAACACAAGAGAAAATAAGGATCTGTGTGAACATCTCTTACATCAGGAGTCTGTCTGCAAAGCAAGAGAGAGAAATATGCTGCTGCAGCTTTTAATGCCTGCAAGCTCCAGGAGCATGGGGAAAGCAGACAGGCTTGGCAGATTTTTTCCAACATATCTCTAAGCCAGAGGCAGGCACAAACAGTCCCAGACTCAGACAGTTCTCACCCTGCATGTTTTGGCTCTGAAATGACATTTTAGCTATGTTTGATTTTTTAATTTACCACATTTAATGTTGTAGATTACATGTTTTTAAACTGATGCTCATTATCACTTGAATCTTTTTATGCACCTTTTGTTCTGATATTGGAAAATATGTGGCTTCTTTGGGTGTTTAATATTTGGCCTGAGCTCAAAGCTGAGCGGCTGTCTAGTGCTCTGTGTTGTTGTATTGTGTATGGTACCCAGAGCCGCTTGAGCAATTCCCTTGGAGAGATGCAGGATTTTCTGTCTGATGGTGGAGCATGGCCGAGAATTAAAAATTCTAGGCTAAAACCCAGTGGTGTTAACGAGGGGGATCTTTCAAAATCATAATTCATAGGACCAATAATTGATGGCAAGAAAGAACCTCTAATTTATTTGTGCAAATTCACAAGCTGCTCTTATTTTGCAGCCTCTGTTCAGCTGTGGAGGTCACGTCTGGGCCGGGTGATGTACTCCATGGCAAACTGTCTGCTAATGATGAAGGTACGTGGGTGGCAGCAACTGCAGAGGTACCGTATATTCCAGAATAGAATGTCAGAGAAAGTGCAAAAGGATTGCTGGTGCATAGATAAGGGAAGACTACCTGACTGTACATGAAGGTTTTGCTTAGTGAGGAATTAATTAGACTTAATAATGTCTTATTTAATAGATAACTATTTGCAGTAATGTTCTTTGGGAACATATCTGTACTTACTTCTCCTCAAATCATCCTAGAGAACATGCAATAACAATACAGAATTTGCATTTTTAAATTGAATTTTTCAAACACTTAACTAAATGCTGTAATTAAAAGTAATTATGTGCTCTGTCTTTTTCAAACTGTGCACTAGGAATGTTGCTCTGTTTGTGAGGATTATTAATACTGTAGCCTTTGTATGTGATGAAGATCCAGAACATCTAAATGCATCCTCTCTTGTCAACCTATCTCAGTTGTGAGATACCTTCTTTCAAGTTTAAATCCTCAGTGTTGAGTAGGGACAGAAGAGAAAGGGATAAAAGCAAAAGTAACCATCTTCCACAGTTGGGTTTTTTTTCCCCCTGATTCCTCCTTACTTTTTTTAACCAATCCTACTCCATTCAGTGCAACTCTTAGCTTCTCCTTGTATTCAGGAAGTAGAAATAAAACAACTTCTGTCGTTCACCTCATGGTCGGGGAAACAGGGATATCACCATTCTTGCAGCAAACTGCCGTTATCCTGAGCTTAACCGTACCTCACAAATCAGCTAGCAACAGCCTCGGAGCAGAGCTGTCAGCAGTATAATCTTCACAGGCCGAGATTTGCACTCCTTGCTCTCTGCTCTTGATTGCTCAAGGTCATGCCAAAACTGACCCTCTGATATTTGCTAAACTACTTATCAAATGGGGCTCCATTCTTAATATTACAGTACCTCAAAAAGCATGCGTTTTTTAGATAAGATCCAGTTACCTAAATACTGCTTTACATAAAATGGATTGTTCTTTTTATGAGAATTAGGGAAAACAGAAATTTGTATTCATAGTGATATTATGATCAGAACATTTCTGTCTTAAATAGAAATAATTGTCCATTAAACCATGAGGTACTTTTAAGAATTAGTAAGCATTTGTGTTTTGAAGTAGGTACTTGACATAGGTTCATTTTTTCAAAAAGCAAGTGGGGAAAAGCATGAATTGCCATCCCAAACAAAGTAAAATATATAAATAAGAAAATGCCGGTAATGTATTTTTTCTATAAGTTCATTTTACTTTTGGCTGTGAATTGTTTTTAACAATTTCAGTGTTTTTCTTGCGTACACACAAATCCACATGCATACACAGTTCGTGAGAACTTTCTTCTGGATTGGTCCTGTTAGTGCTATTTTCTTCTAGTAATAGAAATATATTTGTGAATACCGATTATCACATTTTTGGAAATGGTACTTCAGAAATTTTGCAACTCAGGTACTTCTTAAAACCAGTTATACTTAGGGCCTATCTCACTGCTGTTTAGAAATTTACGGTTCCACAATAACTTCCGGATTACCTACAACTGTATGTTAATGCATAATTACTTCCACCTGAAATTTGCATTTCAGTGCATTGGCTATGGAGTAGTTGTGAGTCTCTCAGTTTTCAGAAATATCCCTCTAAGGAGTAGTAGCGAGTTAAGAAAGATTTTACGAACACAGTCATGTTGCAGTTAAAATCAGAATAGGATATAAAGTTAATTTTTCTGTTTGTGACAGATCCTCTTTGAGAGAATTATATTGGTTATTTATAAATTTAATATTTTTAAGACCATTCTAACATGCAGCAATGCTATAATCTTATTTTCCAGCTTCTAGAGTATTCGATCTGAAACTATTTCCTCAAATAATTTTTAAACACACTGTTGTAAATTATCCAATCAACAATTATATTAATTGAACAGTTCCACTTTTTTGTTTTGCTGTTGTGTAATACACTTTTAAAACTGCATTTGTTTTTATTCAAGTATTTCAAGTGTATGTGATTTAAAAAAAAAAAACAACCTGATTTCATTCTCCAAGTCAGTACCATCTATTGCCATCTAGTGAACATTTACAATATTGCAATCTGGTCATAATAGATCACCAAGTACTGTTAGGTAAATGGAATATCTTGTGCTATTAGTAGATTAATAATAATAATTTATTAAAGTAAAACTATGTGACATCAGTATTAACAAAGAGACAAAATATTATATTTTACTTACCTCTTTCTTTGGCCAAAAAACTTTGGTAGTATTTAATAGGGAGCAGTCTTGTTAGGACTGATTCTTGAAAATAAAAAAAAAAAATAAAAAATAAAGAGTTTGATTATATGTTGGGCCTATAACTATTTAAATCTACTTCAGTTATCCTCAACTCTAATTAAGCTTGTTTCAAGTCATATCTTCTGCATTACTTATCTGACTCAAGGAATTTTGTTTATGAAGTTCAATGATTTTTGTCTTTTTAAATATGGCCTCATTAGTTTCATAGCTAAACCTCTCATTAAATTATTGAGATGGAGGGGTACATTGTTTTGGAGGTAGTGAGTGAGATGCAAAGAAGTGATTCGCCCAAACTTGCGCAGGAAATCTATGGTGGGACAAGAAATTAATCACAAGTCTCCTTTACCCTGGGACCATCTTCCCTAGGTACTGAGTTCTGCCTGCTGTGTCCCTTTATCTGTGTGACTGCTGATACAGTTTGATAGCAGTTTAAGGCAGTCTTACTATTCATTTTTTTTCCTGTTCATCCCCCTTTCTTTGTACAACCTTTTTAAAATATACTCTAGCTTCCCTCCGTGTACCACTGTTGCACCTAACAAAGTGACATAAACAACAAAGAAATGGTGGATCCCAGTCATATCAACTGAATTGGCTTTCCCCATGTCATGTGAACGAGGCACAACTTCAGGGTGGAGGTGGAAATGCGGCGGAAAGGGGAGACCATGCACTGTGTCACTGTAGACTTCCCTTTACAAGAACCGCGGGCTTAAGTCACTGTGAAAGTGTACCCTGAATATAGCGGCACGAGGGAATATTCATTTAAGATGTAACTGATGATGTGTATTGCTTCATTTCAACAATCTAATTGCAAAATGTCTGTCATTTTACTAAATCACCATGGAGGTGTCTTGAAAAATTTTTAAGTTCTTTTCATCTGAGCTAAAATAGCTTTTGACATTATCTTACCAGCCTTTTACCTCTCTGAGGAATAAACACTTAAGTACTATCCATATATATTATAAATGCACTCTAATTCAAGGCACTTTTTAGATTTTTTTTTTCAGTGTTGTCTTAGCTGTTGTAGAACTTGCCCTTCATAAAAACAAAAGCGTTAGAATTTATTTTAATTTGAGTCTAATACAACTAAAACTGTACAAATAAGGAGGTAACAGCTTGTACTAGTGATGCAAGGGACTGATGCCTAAAGATTTTGGTTCCTCTATGATTTAAAGAGGAAAGACTGCATGAATCATCATGTCTTTTGCCTAACTGTGCTGCAGTACTGCTCTTTGGATTCATAACACTGTGAATCTCTGCTTTCATAACCCTTCCACAAGAGCATTAGATAGAGAGGAAGGATAAGTTATCTCTGTCCTCTCTTCCCAGAATACAGTATTTATGAACTATACACTTTGTATAACTAAAGCTGATTTTTAGTCTGTGGTTTATTGAACCTGCATTCAGCATTCTACACATCATGGTCATTTATGCTTATTTCTGATCACCTCATAATTATTATTTTAAGTACTTAAGTTAGTGGTGAGGGAAACATGAAAATGTATAATGCAGTGACCATGAAGGGAAATTAGAGTTATACTGCAGTGCATCAAAGGAAAAACAAACCCCACTAGCCATTTCTGTGCAAGTAAATCCAACAGCTTACTAGAACTATTTTGGATGAGTATACACAATGTGAGCTCCCAAATTTTCATAATAAAAGAGATATTGAATTACAAAACAATAGGTCAACTCTCATTCATATCCTGAATTGTGTAACTTCAGTTCTTCTTTTGGGACTTTTTATGAAGGTGTGGAAAATCTGAAAGCTTGCAATCTTTAGAAATTAAAGACCATGACAATACATCAGGTCACCTTTAGGTCTTAAGATCACAAGCTGCAGTCATTGGGTTTTTTTACTGTCAGTACCCTAATACGTCTTATTACTCAACCACAACTTGGGTCAGCGAACTCTTCACTCTTCTGGGAGAGTGTCTACTTACCATTCTCAGACAGTTTTTCTTATACCATGTCTCATTAGCAAATCTGGGAATGAAAACAAAATTTCCAGTAAATGAGAGCAAATCTCATCTACTTTACAATATGCTCTTTCAGAAGGAACTGTCAAGCAAGATGCTTTTATAACTTACCATGGAATACTATCATTGCGTATCACATGTAGGATACTCTAGAAACCTACTACTGCTTCTATGGTGGTGTGGGGGAAGAGTAAATGCATACAAAACTCACTGTGGGATCCTGGAGTAACTACAAAATGAGGTTGTATTTGGAAGTGAGTCTGGATATTGTGATAATATTTTACATTTTCATTCTACAGCCATCCTTGGCTAGCCTTTGGGGTGGCTTTGGATATATAACTTAGTCTCTTGCCATCTCCTGGAAGAACTGGGTCACGTTCCTGTGGTAGGTACTGCAAGGCATGGGGTAGACAAGCACAGCAGCTGTGTGCTGTGCTGTTGTATGGAGACAGGATGCCACATCCACGGATACAGTGCACAGACTCTTACTGCTTCACCTCTACTCTCACATTCTAGGAGGTGTGAGTGTTTATATACTCCTAGTTATAATGCGTATGGTGATGTACAGTCACTTAATAGAGAATGCAGAAGGGAAGGAGGGTTTGTTTGCCTGACCAAGCCAAGTCCATGAAACCCCTGCAGAGTGGGCCTCCAAGACATTACTTGACTGCTTGTTCCTACCAAAGCTGGCTACTACCTACACTAGGGAGCCTGTGGTGTTATAATTGTGCAAACAGTGCCCCCTCGTGCAGTTTCTTCTGGCCAAGACTCTTCCGCAGTCAAATCATGCTAAGCTGTAAAGTAAGCTGACAGAAGCACTTTTCTATCAGTTTAACTGTATGTTCTCCTGGGAGTTTTTTCTGCATGAGTCTGGAGATGTGACTGTAAAGCCCCCATCCCTCATGGCTGTGCTCAGTGTCTGTTGTGTGGCCTAAGCCTTAGAGCGTGCGTGAGCCTGAGGACTGCGTAAGGGGCAGCTTTAGACCACAGAATGGAAGACATTGAGCACAAAAGCTAGAATTTGATACGCTAAAAATACTTCTTCAGTGAGCACATTTTATGCTTGAAGGGGTAAAATACACAGTCATAGACAATCCTTCAGATGTTATAAATTATGCCCTTGCAGGTATTAATAGCTAATACAAGCATGGCTGGGGTTCCTCTAAGGAGCCGGTTCAGAGGGTCCCTATTCCAAGTTTTTTATGTCTATCTGACACAGTGGAAGTCTGTGATCAATTAAGTCCTTTAGTGAGAGCTGCTACAGTGAAAAATGAGGGGTTTATAAATCATAAATTTATGAAAAAGTTTGGTAGCATAGGTTTCATCACATTTGAGTTCTGAATGCTAAATAAATCAGAATTTAAATAAATATATTTTTGAGTATATAGCCTGTTGTCTTTCCTCTGAACTTTTTCCTTGAGCGATAATAAGCATGAACATGGCATGGCACACTAGAATTGGAATAAACTCTAAATGTTAATAATTAACTGTTCAGAATTAATCATTATACCCACAATATGCAAGTTGTTTACAAAAGAAGGGTCCTACAGAGTGCCTCCTGGGCTGTTTAAGTTAGCGTCTACTATTATAGGACATGTAATTTCTCTCATGTACAGATCAGACTTGAAAGATTTCTCTTGATATTTTGTGTATATGAAACAATTAGTATGTTCCAAATGGTGACCTGGTGCATGGATCAAGTAGAATCATAGAGTAGTTGGGGTTGAAAGGGACCTCTAAAGGTCATCAAGTTGCAACCCCCCTGCCATGGGCAGGGACATCTTCAACCAGATCAGGTTGCTCAGAGCCCTGTCCAACCTGACCTTGACTGTTTCCAGGGATGGAGTATCTACCACCTCTGTGGGCAACTTGTTCCAGTGTTTCACTATTCTAATTGTAAAAAATTTTTCCTTGTATCTAGTCTAAATTGCACTTTTAGTTTAAAACCATTATACTTTGTCCTCTCGTAACATGCCCTGCTAGAAGGTCTGTCCCCATCTTTCCCATAGCCCCCTTTAAGTACTGGAAGGCTGCAATAACGTCTCCCTGGAGCCTTCCCTTCTCCAGGCCAAACAACCCCAACTCTCATCTTTCTTCCCAGGGGAGGTGCTCCAGCCCCCTGATCATTTTTGTGGTCTCCTCTGGATCCGCTCCAGCAGGTCCATGTCTTTCTTGTGCTGGGAACTCCAGAGCTGGACAGAGGGTTCAATACTTTTAAGTGAGACCTCAGGAAAATAAATTCATTACACCTGGGACACATTGCCCCCTCGGACTAAGCAGGAGATGAAGAAGAAGCACCTTTACCAGCAGCTGTGATCACATTAGGACAAGTTAAATGATTATTGTAATTTGACCAAGAAAAATGGTAAGATAGAGAGTATCCCAAGATATCTGCAGTTTTGAAAGATTATTCTTACATGTCTCTTGCTTCCGAACACCCAACACAAATTCGTGGATTAAGTTGAAGGGCAGGACTGTCAGGAAGCACCAGATTAGTACAGCACAGGGACTTCTGTCTTTGCATACGCCTGGCTTTCATAAGCAAAGGCAGGCTTGCTCTGCCTCTGCTCGGGATTTCTCCAAGAAGCTATAGCTGAAGCTAGTGCAGCCCTGTGCCCCGTGAATGTACCTACTACGTGTCCTCCAGTCAACATAGAGCACATGCAGTTTCTCATGTATGCCTGCCAAAGACCAGGTAGCCAGGCTCTAAAAGTCTTTTTCTGCACAGATTATTGAATTACTGTGGTTTAACTGCAGTAACCAGTCACCTGAGCATTTCTCTCCTGTGGGAAATGGGACCAGGATTTTGTTCAGTCTTCTTTCACTGGTCATCAGTCTGGAGGGGATGGTTGCACTGCATCTTGAGCAGGCAGATCTCAGAGCTGCCCCTTGCCAGCAGCATCTTTGTGTGGGCATGGGGGGGGTCACTTGCAAAGCTTCCTGGAGTTCAGAACCAGCCCACCCCACACTTTGTTTTAGCCCAAATCAGTTTTCTGTTTAGATTACCTGCTCATTTTCCATTTACACAGTATGGTAGAATGGAACAAGGATTTGGGTGGAGGGATAGAAAAGGCCTTATGTCCCTTGGCAGTAGTACTAGTTGGTAATCTGAAAATGTGCATGAATTGCAGCTTCTGGCACATTGTATTTTTCACAAGTTAAGAGCATGTGCACGAGCAGTTCCCAAAGCTTTGAAACATACTTTTTTAAACCATGTAAATTATACATATATTTGAAACATGAGACACTTCTCAAATATGTATACCGTGGTCACACAGAAGGCTTTTGACTTTCATCCTAAATCATAATCTAAGCTGAAGAGTAAATGTTCAGATTTTCTGGTTTTGGCATTTAGCTACAAACAGAATATGATCTAGTTGGAGAAGAAAAAAAAAAAAAAAAAAAAAAAGATCTCCTCTGTATGCAGTTCCAGTATAACTGAGAAAAGAACGATGTAGTCAGCTATTAGTGCCTACAGAGATAGGTAGAAATTGTCCTGCTGACAAGTTGCAATTACTTTAATTCTGTTTGAATATGTCTTTAAAAAGAAGGTGACAAAGGCTGAAGAATTCTGAGTTTAAGTATCTGGTTGTATGCTTTTCACCCCTTAGGACTATGTGCTTGCTGTAGATGCTTACCACACTGTCATCAAATATTACCCACAGCAAGAGCCTCAGCTGTTGAGTGGAATTGGAAGGATTTTCCTTCAGGTATGCGTTTTATTCTAAATGTGCTGGGTAATACTGCTGTTGACAGCTATGTAGTGAATAATTGTTGCGTTTAAAACTGTAGCTGTTTTTATAGGGCTTGTATCAAATTGTAGAGGCAGTGGTCAAAACAAAAAAAAAAAACTTCTACCACATGATATTAGATGAAGTTAGGAAATGTAAAGCACCTGTAATATTAAGAGCACATGCATGTACATTAGCAAACAAAGAACATGCTAATAATTTAATCACAGAGCAACATTCTGCTTTCCCTAAAACTAATGGTAAAGTTCCTATTGACTTCAGTGAGCCAAAATTTCACTAAAAATCTAATTTCTCACTGCCTCAAACAGCATACAGCTCTTGGTCACACTGTATAACTGCCATCTTCATCTAGAAGAAATCTGAGAGTTTCTTTCTTTTGTCCAAGTTATATCCCTGAGAAGACAGGGAGGGCACATTGAAAGAAAAAACAGGACTGTACAAGTATAGTAAATTTCCATGTAGCTATGTACTTACCATAATAATTAAAAAAAATACGTAAGTACAGTAGTACTATTTTATCAGAAAATGATGCATCTAAATAATCAGTATCTGATTTAATTTCTAGTATCTCACAAATTCTTTGAAGTTCTTTCACATTTCTGATACTGATATTTCAAACTTTTTTATTTACTTTTATTATTCATTGTAAATCTAATTTTGAGGTTTTGAGTATTTACGAACAATTTTATTTGTGGCATTCATGTAATAAAATGATATTGAAATGGAATAATATACTTCTGATAGATAAATAAATTATTAATATTGTTTGCTTGAAATCATAGAATGTCATTCAAATTCAGTTATGGATTTTCGGTGCTCACCAGGAATGTGTTTTCACATTGTGGTAGAAATGTTTGTCTTGAAGTCTCTGATTTAAAGTGGATCTCCATCACTGTAGAGCAATTTTATAATACTGGCTGTGTGCATTAATTATTACCTACAGAGGCAACCTAGTAATTGTGCATATTAAAGAATGGTAGTGTAAATATGCATAATACTAATGGAAATACAAGTTATTTATATTTCTGGTCTTACTGGGAAAATGACTGGGTATGTTACTGGTACTGCCTTGCCGACAGCAGTGCCTGCCCGAGTGTCACACACTCCAGTCAATTAGTAGCTCAGTTTGCTACAGAAAAATTTTCACTCTGGGGAGGAAGGCGTCTCCTAACTTTGGAAGGAATTACATCCACCCAGTTTCAAAAGTGGTGTTCACAGGCTCCATATGGAGCTGTTTGAAGTCAGTGACCTCCATGGTGTTGGCTGTGAGAACAGGCCTGTAGTATTCAGTAGTTTTACTGTCAGAACTGGACATTGAAAAAGGGAGCATGAGGAGCCCTTGATATTTTCGCGTGATTCGTGATTCTAGATAGTAGTTAATAAAAAGCATTCAAATGTCTTCCTTTCTTCTGGCACCTTAAGGAGATAAATTTTTATTGTTTGGCATGTTGACTTTTTTTTTTTTTTGTGACAAAATCTTCAGCTCTGTCTGGATGGTACTGTTCCAATAGATGTGAGATTTTGATGTATATAGGAGTAATAATCAGTGTGCAGGTAAACAAGACCAAAAAGTTCAAATCGGAGAAGGAGAAATGTGTTGCAGGGCTGGGCACCATCATTTTGGTAAGACCATGGTGTGATATGCGTGCACTTTTGCTGAGGCACTGCGTGAAAAAAATAAACCTCTTGCAGGTAAAATGGGAAACCAATTTTCTCATATTCAAATGTTACAGCTTCTCAAAAACAGGTAGTGATTCCCAGATAACCTCAGACTGTTCTCTTTGAGCATTATCCAAGACGGGCATGAGGGAGCCAGATTTTAGCTGCTTATCAGTCACAGATACTGTTTGACAATAGACATCATACATATGAAACAAAGCAATAATGTAGAATGAAGTGTAAGTTCAGGAGTTAAACAGTAAACAAAAAGGTAACTTTTTTCAACATACAAAACCTTACTTTGTGTGTGATTGCTTTTCCTTAATTAAATTGAGCTTACTAGTTTAAGGTACTATGTCTTCTGTATCTTCACATGTAGTGGGGCATAAAGAGGCCTAGATCTGATGGACAGCCTTTAGCTATTGCCTTAACATAAGTGGGAAATGAGGATGAGAGAAATGGAGAATGCAGTTAAAAACAGAGGCTATCCCAGAGAAAGTTTCAGAAGCACTGTAATTCTGTCAGCAGTCACCTGACCCGTAAAACAGAAATTCACATGAAATGGGGAAACAGTGAATACATTTTTGTCTCCAGGATATTACTGTGTGTTGCTAATAGACTCTGCTTGCTGGCTGACCTATCCAAAATTGCCATTTAAATAACTACATTAAAGAATTTAGAAGGTGGAAAGCTGCTGACCTTACCCTTTGCAATAGATTGCTGAAAAACAGAGTTGAAAGCAATAAATAAATCCTAGGAATAATTAAGAATAATAATCTTGGTTTCCAGACAAGCAACAAACTTAAGCACACAGTATATTGGAGGCTTCTTGTTAAAGCATATGATTATTTGGGGTTAACAGAGGAGTTTTCATTTTTATTCGAAGTGCTAATTATTATTAGATACTGAAGTCATGTTTTCTGAACTAAGTTAAATAAAATCAAATGATGAAGACCACTTCAAATATTTAACTCTTTAATGACTAATTAAAACTAATTATTTCTTTGAAATGTTCTGGGGGGAAAAAAAAAGTAAACTGTTTCCTCTCAGTGCGAAAAAATTAGAATTAAAAGTTTGACATGTTTACTGAGAAGGTATAAGGTGCTGCTAAGAAATGAGAACTCTTCCTGATCATAAATAAGGTGTGATTAATCTCAAAGCATATTAGATCTGGACTCATCAAGCTCCCAGTGGAGCACACTGGTAGCTTGCTTTAGAAATGAATTATTCTTGTGGTTAGGGGCTTCCTTCTAATTTCCAGGCTAAAATTGGGAAGAGATCTAGATGAAATATTAAAATGGATGTTTGCTGTGTCTGAAAAGTGTACTGGGAAAGCCATTCGCTGGAAGATTAGAAGGACTTGCTAGATGATGTTTTCCACAAGGGTCTCCTCAGGGTTTGTAGTGTTTATATTTTTCAGTTAGGTGTTTTTACAATGAAATTAGAAATGTGCTTGTAAAATATACCAAACTGGGAGTGGTACAGACACTATGAAGGGCAGCATCAGAATGCAAAGTAATCTTGATGAGTTGAGAAACCAAAATATTAAATTGGCTGTGATTCAAACAGGAAAGACAAAATGCTACCAAAAACTGGGAGTAATAGACAAATACAAAATGGGAAACCACTAATGAGACACTCTTCTATAGAAGGGAATTAAACTAAAAGTAGGTAAACCATACATGGGTAAACAAAGCAGACTTCCAGAATACTGTGGCATAAAAGCAAACTTCATATGTGAAACATAAAGTAATTCTTCCATTCTCACTGCCGGCAAGAGATCAGGTGGAGATCAGCGAGCACTCAGGGAGGATGTGAAGTAACAGGAGAGTTCAGAGAACAGCAAGAATGATCCAGAAAGCATAATCTGTGAGAAAGGGTTGAACACTGATTTGCTTGAAAATTGATTCTCATTCTAGAAGAAACATAGGAGAAAGTGCAGTAACAAATTCAAAGTATGTGAAAGGCTGCTAAAAAAAGAGGAGTTATACAATTCTCCCTGCCCACTATGGATAGGACAAAATGTTGGGGTAAAGAGTGCAGCAAGATAGAGTGGATTTTATAATGCTACATGTTTGTAAGAATTCTGGAATAAGTTTCCTAGATTGCTGTGTAATATTCACCATCTGAGACCTTGAAGGAGACTTCAACACATTTGTCACAAATATTTTTGGTAATGTTGGTCCTGTTCTTGAACAAACAGGTGATCTCTCAAGGGCCCCCTGAATCTCCCCACCTGAGGGCTGCCTGGTTTCCATGGCTTTATGCTCCTGAACTAGTTTAGTTTTACTCCTTTTGCTAGATTTCTTTTACCCACTACTAAGTTTTCTTTTTCCATCTCTCCAGCCCAAAATTATTGTGAAACCTTACCAAAAGTATGAGCATGTCCTTCTGTGAAACATACATTGCTAACTTACTTACCAAAGGGGTCTTCTTCAAAGATTTTTTTTTTTCATCTCAAATATCAACGTATGTGACATAGCCTTAGGTGAAATACCCCTTCCTTTCTAGGAATCCCCTTCCCCGTCCCCACCCCCCCAGAAATCTGTTCCTCTTTGTGCCAGTTTTCAAATCCCTCATTCCTTCAGCCTGCACAATCCACTCAGCAGTTTTTTTCCATCTGCAGGTGGACTGTCTCCCTGATACCCTCAGTGACCCATTGCATTGGGGTTGTTTTCTGACATGTTTCGATCTCAAGCACTGAAGTCACCCTGTGGTCCCTGGCTGTGACCCATAAGCTGTGGGTTGACCAAGTGTGGGCCCTACGCTACCTACCAGGCTACTGTGTTCCTGTTCTGCTTGGTGACAGGTTCTGCCTGTGGGCAGTGTCTCTCTTCACTTCCTGCAGTGACACCTAGTCTCACCAGAAGTAATTTCAACCTTTTCTCATTTTCAGCTAATTTTATAAAGTCTGGAGTCAGTTACAACAAAAAAGACAAAGGAGGAGGTGGGGCCCCCCTGCCATACAGTCCATGAATGCTCCACAACCCACAGCTGGGAAACACTGCCTTAGATAAAACTGCACGTGCCTTTGGGGTTCTTTCCATGACCTTAATGCAGCTCTTCAAATACCATGTTTGATAACATTTGGTACTCGGTCAGCTTGGTGCCAAAGTTAGATAATGGATTTTGATATGTTTTCATATTCTTATCCTTTGTAACAGAACTAATCAGTTGGGTCTCTTCTTATTGTGGTAACTTCCTTATGATTCTGCTGTCTAGATTGGAGACATAAAAACTGCAGAAAAATATTTTCAAGATGTTGAGAAAGTGACTCACAAATTGGATGGACTACAGAGCCAAATTATGGTTTTAATGAACAGGTAGGTAATTTAATAGCTAAATGAAACTTTAAAATATAATTTTGCAAAGTATGCATTGTGAGCATTAAACTACCCTTGAGACAATCCCGTTCTATTTCTCTCTTTTATGTAACTACATCTGTCATAAGTGAGACTGAATGGCATATAGACCCAGGAGATCTGTATTACTCTGTACAGTCATATTATCCTGGATTGAAATTGTGATCCTTCAGTTGATATTACAAAGCTTTTCCTCATTCTTACAGGCACTGCATATTTTCACTCTGCTTTTTCAATATACATTTGCATAAATAACTCTTAGGAGAGGAGGTGCTGTTTTGGGCCCTTATCCTACAATCAGATCTGCTAATAAAGTTACCACCAGGTAGTTTCGAAGAATGCTGGAATACATTGTAGTAAATCAAGCTGCATGATGGGAGACTCAGTTTGTAATGGTTAGAACATTGGCTTAATATATTTAGAAAATACTATTCAAAAGTGCTCTGAAAATTATATAGCATGGCTAATCCATGAAGAGAAGTAATTCCAGGAAGACCGTATATGCATTTAAATTAATAAAAACACAGTGAAGACTGTTGCTTTGGTCAGCAGAATATATAATAGCCCAGTGATCCAAGTTGTCATTCCATTTGTCTGTAAATCAGTGTCTCCTTGCTGGTTGTAATTACACCGTGAAGAGCAAATGTCAGAAGCTCTGATATCTATAACAGGAAAAATAAAAAATGCTGTCCATTCTTTTTAAAATATATTATCACCTTGGGTTTTTGAGGAGAACTCATTCATATGTCACTTACCTTCCAGAGCATTTCTCCACCTTGGTCAGAATAATTTTGCGGAAGCTCATCGATTTTTCACAGAAATTTTAAGGATCGACTCATCAAATGCTGTGGTAAATCTCCAAATTGCTACATTTATAATGAACACCTAAATTATTGTCGTAATGCTTCATGCGTGGATTTAATTAGTACCCAGAGGATGCTCAGAGCTATATAGAAAAACTGGATGTGGCATGTGTGCTAAAGGGGTTTTAGTATACATAAAGATAAGATACAAAATGGGATGGGAAATGAAGAACCAGTCTATATGAAGGGCATCAGTACTTAGGCATGCATGTAGAAATTCTAAAACATGATGTTTTATGGGATCTTCGCAAAAGCACTTTTTTTTTTTTTTTGCATTCACTATTTTTAGCATAGACATACGTGTCAGAAAAAGAAATGGCATCTGCCAACGTATATAAGATTAACTTGATTTCACACAACATTGAAGGGATACTGTAACTTTAAACATGACATTTTCAACACGTTGCATATCAGAGCCTTGGATTCCCATCACAAGAGGAGACCAAAGAAGAGCTGTTTACGTTTGGGTTTTTTACATCTGGCAGCTTTCAGGGCATGGTCATGTAAGAGTGTTCCTAAGAACTGAGACAGCTTACCCCCCTAGTAGCCTGATCCAAGGCCATTTAAAGATGGAGAAGACTGAGTTTGAACAGCACATCAATTGCATCATTTTGCAGTCTGTAAAATAGTACATACTGTAAATCGCACGAGATCAGTAAGGTTTCCTGAAGGGAGAAGAAAATAACTTTTTTTAAAAGGCTGTGTTCTTCCTTTATCTGCAGCTTTTGAAAAGTGTGAAAGTTTCTGCTGCTAAACATGTTATATGACTTTGTACTGTTGGAATCTTTCAGTAACTCATAAAACCTGTTTTGTGTGGGAAGGAAAATGGAACTTGACTTGATCATTTATGGTGTATTTAGACTAACCTATCTGCTGAATTTACTTGAAGTCAGTTGTAGATGCCTTTGTGATAAGGTAGTTTCTTCCTGTTGCTTATGTGGATCTTCTGTATGTAAGCCAGAGAGAAAAACACTTCTGAAGATATAGTGAAGTCATTAAAAAACAAAACTATAAAAATGACAGCATGCAGAGGTTCATGTAGTTTCTGAAATCTGTTTCAACTGACTTTCAGAATTAACTGACTAATGTCCTGTACTACTTATATTTCATTTTAGACTCTGTCTTTTAGAGTTTCAGCTCTTAGAAGTCAGCAAGTCCTACTGGCACAGGATAAATCTTGAGAATAACCATAAGAGGATTGATAATGTGTTTTAGTTACTTGTGCACGCACACACAAAATAGGAATTCTTAGCACATAGTAAATCTGTTGTAACTCCAGATGCTAGACTTCTTTTTTTCCATCTCTCTCATCACTAGTAAATACATACATACATAAATATATATATACACACACACTTTTATTTATTTACAATATATTTTTCTCTAGGCCAATAACAATGCTGCTGTTTGTCTTCTTTATCTGGGAAAACTGAAGGATTCCCTCCGGCAGTTGGAAGGAATGGTACAGCAGGACCCTAAACACTACCTACATGAGAGTGTTCTCTTCAACCTCACCACTATGTATGAACTGGAGTCATCCCGCAGCATGCAGAAGAAGCAGGCACTTTTAGAGGCTGTAGCTATCAAAGAGGGCGATAGCTTTAATACTCAGTGTCTCAAGTTAGGATAGATCATTTCCAACTGATTTTTTCCAGCAAGGCTGATTTTTTAAATTGTATATACTCTTGCTAATGTGTAAATGTGAAATAAAATCTATTCAGTTATGAATATTCAGTGGCATTACTACAGAATCTGTTGTCTCCAACAGTCCTATCATTGTGAAGACTTTGTGCTGACCTAGACCCAGCTTCATCCCTACAAGTCTCTTACTGTTTAGTTATTCTTCATTACAGTGTACTATATAGAGAGAGTCAACTCCTCAGATTCTTTTTATAAGAAAAACTGAATTTGAACTTATATTGTCTTGATGATTGTAACAGTTTTTCAGTAATTAGTGAGCAAATCACATGAGCTGATTTTATCAGGTAAGAGTTACTGACAGAATGTCAGTATGTGTATTATAGAAATGAAATTCTGAATGTACTTCTCTTCCCTTGCTTCTGCTGTGTGTGTCTCATTTTGCCCCCATCCAGCTATTGAGTATTATACCTTTGTACGTCCACTGCTCTCAAAGGAGGTTGCTCGATAGCCACCATACAGAATCACAGCATGATTGAGGTTGGAAGGGACCACTGGAGATCATCTGATCTGGAGATCACCCAGTCAGGCAGGGCCACCTGAAGCAGGTTGCCCAGATGGCACATGAGGGAGCCCCACAGTAGGAATTTCCCACAGTATGAGGGACTGTATCATCTGAATGATACTACATGGTCTCTCTATACTTTCTTAGTTTTGTGATACCATTAAATCTTTTAGGTTAAAGCATTTGGATTCTGGAAAGCTGTGGGTAGGAGTGGAGGATTTCTCTATTCCCAAACTAAGGCTTCCTTCTATACTTCTTCCCTCTCTTCTACTCCCTGGTCAACATCTCTATTCGGAAGTTACCAGCAGATGTCACGAGGTTGTTCTAAAAACCTTGTGCGTGGGTATTTCAGCTCTTAGTATACTACAGCTGTCTTCCTCATGCCTACCCTAGAGCCTGTGGATTCCTCTCGGTGGAGACAGGCACAGCTGCTCCTCTCTGGCGTTCTGCTGGGTGGAGAAAGGAGCACTGCCAGGTAGGCAGAGCGGAAACACAACCCATTCCAGCTCAGCTCCTCGCCTGTTACCAAGTGAAAACACCATGCAGAAAGTATTTCCCAGGGGAAAGGATGGCGAGACTGAGGCAGAGGTATCTCAGGGCTGGCTAGACCATGCGGAGTGGAAGCAAATGGGGTGATGCGGGGCAGGACACAAGGCAGTTATTGATGCAACAGGACCAACATACAGTGATTTCGGCATCCCTTGGAACACAGAGTTTTGGTATCCCAGAACCAGTGTGGTATCGATGTATTTCACATCTCTGCCCACATTTCTCCCTTCATCTCTATTGTAAAGATTGAATCCAGACACTCCCACTCCTTGTACATGAATACAATATATAGTTCTGTTTATTTTTTTTACTGTTTTGAGATTTAGCGTTTAGTGAATGGAGTAGCTTCTTGTCATGTATCACTGCCATGGGACAATTCTGTAAGTGTATTTGTTACTTTTTTTATACCACATCCATCAATTAGTTCTTACTGTCTTTACCCCCACCTGTATTTTTAAGTAACTAACAACTCATTTTTATGTTTGTCCAACTGGAGATACTGTACAGGGTCCAAACAGTTGTCCCTGAAAATCAGGTGGTTTGAAAACTGCTGAAAGCCGGACATGCAAAAAAAAAATGAGGATGTCTGAAAATCACCAGTCACCTCAAAAGACGTAAGCCTACAGCTTTTCTCATACAGAGAGAGATTTTGTTCCATTTTTACAGGATACGTATGTTTTACAGGTCATACTTGTGCTCTGAAACAATGGCTATTTATGTACCAATGAACTGAAAAAAATTAAATCAGTTGGTATTTCTGTTTCTGGCTTGGCCTCTAGGTTCCAGACCTGGATCTGAATTAAACTTGTGCAGCACCTGGGTAGACTGGAGTTTTCTCCAGCATAGGTCACTTTTCTTGTGCATGGGGTTTCTTAGGAGATAGGAAGAAATCCTGGTGTGTAGCCACCATTGTTCTTGAAGACTTCAAGAGCACTGAACAATTTACCAGGGCATGTAGTAACGGGACAAGGGGCAATTGTTTTAAACTGTAAGAGGGTAGATTTGGATTGGACATGAGGAAGAAATTCTTCACTGTGAGGGTGATAAGACACTGGCACAGGTTGCCCATAGAAGCTGTGGCTGCCCCCTCCCTGGAAGGGTTCAAGGCCAGGTTGGACGGGGCTTTGAGCAACCTGGTCTGGTGGAAGGTGTCCCTGCCCATGGCAGGGGGGTTGGAACTCAATGATCTTTAAGGTCTTTTTGAACCCAAATCATTCTGTGATTCTATGATTCCAGTTTTTAAAAGATATAATGATATGTAAATTAATATAACAAAAATTCTCATGCATTTAGATGAAGGTCAGGTGTCATGTTATATTGTTATACTATGGTCTGCGCTTTCAGGAAGCTTGATTTGTCTTTTCCAATTCTAAGTGAAAGTAGCATGATCCATCATCATCCAGTATGCTGAAGCCACCTGCCTCTACAGTCAAGGAGTAACATGCTTCCCTTTTTGATTCAGTAGTGCCTCATACTCACTGCATGTGTAAATGACTGCCTGTGTTCTGATCGGCAGAGAATACAAATTTATAATCCCAGTTGGAGTTAAATAACCATTAAAAATAAAACCACCCTGAAAACCTAATACCCTGTTCTCCAAGATTCTCAAAATACTAATTCGTATATATTACTATGTAGGTCTCACTTCAGTATGTTTGCTGTGTTCTCGTTAGTAGATGCTTTTACTCAGATATAAACACCAGTAGAGGAGACTTGGACTCGGTGACCCCTAAGCTCAGTGAGCCATTATACAAGTGACATCCTGGTAGACTTGCAGAATAATTAAAATTTAAATGCAAAGGCATATTATCACTGCTGGATATATGCAAATTGTTAACTGTTTATAAAATGCAAGAAAGAATGTCAGTGTCACTTTATGGTTTTGATTTAACATATATACAGTTTTAAGTGTTTGATTTTCCTATATTCAGCCAGTTACACGTCTAAATGCTGTATACAGTGTTAAAGCATTAAAGCTAAGGACAAAATTTGTCCTCAAAACATTAATTACACCAGGCAATCCTGTTAAATTCAATGAATTCAGCTGAATTTAATGAGGATTCGTGGTGTAAATGAGGGCAGAGCTCAGTTCTAAAACACAGCATGCATGTGTCATCTGACTAAGTGAGAAAAGCTGTGGAAAGTATAGCCTGAATGAGCTGATTGTTGTATTCAAGTCTTAAAGCTTAATGTGCCTTAACAGAAGTTTTGCATTTAAATTTCCTCTTTTATTAAAAGAGGAGCAAAGAAGCTGTACTTCAGACATTCAGCTAATTGCATTATGCACAGAGATCCAGATCCTCAAAAGGACTTAAGCATTTATCTGACATTCTAGTACCTAACTGCGGTTCAGGTGGTAACAGCAGGCCCTAATCAGCTGGTCATTTACATTTTCCTGGTGCCTTAGCTTTTGGTCTGGGCCTGTTAAATGTTCGCCAGAAGGCATGTGCAGAGGTGCCTGAGACTCCACAAAGGACCTCGGCCCGTGTACTGGAAAGGGTGATCAGTCCTCCGCCTGCCTCATCCTTCATGTCAGCACGAGCACGTGTGCAGCCGCGCGCAAGCTGGATGAGCTCACTGACCCGGTGGAAAAACTCACCAAGCCAGCAGACACCTTCAGATTCATCTTCATCCCGAGGCTTTCAACGCCAGGATGCGCTGGGAATTACCACCCTGCCCGGGCAGGCTGACAAGTTTCCTGCACTACAGTGGCCTAGGAAGTGGCAGACGGACAATCCTTTCCTGAAGCCTTTGTCGCAGGTGTCCTGAAGATCAGACTGGGAGAGGGGCATAAGTGGGGTACAGTCTGCGTGCAGAGCGAGGTTCTGTCTGTCCTGTTTGAATATCGGCTGATGCACTTAATCAACCACATGCACTGCAGCTGCCCAACAGAAAATTGTAAGATCTGTAGTACCGCCATCTCCAGTCATGTTTAGCTGTAGTGAGAAACATACATTCTCTCTCTGCTTCAAGTTGCAATCAAGAAATGTATGAAAACAGGACTGAAGCATCAAATATACTTTTTTTTTTCCAAATAAGTAGAACCACAGCAGCTGAGTCAGCCTCTCTGAGGTTGCTGAGGTAGCAACCTAGATTGCTGCAGTCCTGAGCCATGGCCGGGGAAACTAAAGATGTTAGAACAAGGTGGATTTTATCCATTAGCTCATAGCTATAATACAAGCTCAAAGGAAGATGCTATACGCGTCATTCACTGGGCTTTCTGCCCACTTAATAAAATATAGGGGGGAAAAAAATGTATTTTACCAGTGAGGTGCTTTACATTGTAGGAACCTGCACAGTTTTTAGCAGTTGAACAGCAGCTCAGTAGGACTGAACGCAAACAAGCTCCAGCACTAGTTTTCAGGCAACAGTAGTGGAAAGCTGCTTTCCTTCTTAGTTCTAGTCAGCTTGGAAGTTACAAACGTAGAGATTTCTCATCTTGATGGGGTGTGTGAGATGGTCACAATCCTGGTGTTAGGGAGGAACAGAAAGGTGCAAGAGAGGGAGGAGGACCCAATGCAACCTATCCAAGCTGTTCTTCATTAACACCTGATCCCATCTTGGCTTTGGGCAGTCATTTGCAGATGTTTGTTATGGATGAGAGTCATTAAAATTAATCCATCTGAAAGCCAGCAACAATGGCTTTTAATTTGCCCACAAAGAGGGAAAAATGAGATGTTACTCTCTTGAGGCAGGTAAAGAAGGAGCCAGAAGGTTCCTCTCTGGCTTTGAAAAATTGTCAAAACTGTCAATGCTAAAGTGAAAATACTGAAGTGAAAAGCTGCAGAATAGAATTACTAGAGCTGTTTATTAAAAAAAATAAAAAAAAATCCACTCTTTGCAGCACAAGGTGTGAGCAAGTACCTCAGATGCTGGCACACACTCGGGTGGCAGGCAGCAGGATTGAGCCCCAGCCCAGCCTGTGCGAAACCCGGCCTCCGCTTTGTGTCCCCTTGCTCCTGCATCACCAAGAACAGCTTCCCTCTTTCCCACCAACAGCAGGTCAGCTTTAAGTTGCCTGAATCACTTAGGAAAAAAGAAAAAAAAATAAGCCAGCGGGTAGACCCAAATCAAATTCTCCAGGCTCAGATGCCTGTGACTGCAGGGGAAACTGGAGCCCAGAGCTCAGCTTGGCTCCTCGGGGCCGTATCTGCGACCAGAGGCAATCCTGGAGCACCACAGGAGCACGGGGCATACCCAGACCAATTTTTTACCGGCTGACGCGGCTCATTGACAGGCACAACACTTATTAATTGGTACCCTGAGAAGCAGCATAGAAGACGATGAAAGAGAGGGGCACTTTTCAAAATTAGCACAGGTATCCCAGAGAGAACTGCAGTGGGGGAAGCCAGTGTTGAAAGAGATCCACAGCCCTTTAACTGCTGAATCTCTCCTCAAGCATTTTGGTTTTTTTAAATTTTGCTTCTTTGTCTTATCTGGGTATTTATGCAGTTAATAAAAAATGAGAGCTAGTGACTCAGTCACATAAAAAGTAGTCTTTTCAAATTGCGGGCATAGCAGAGTACCTTTTTGCAAACACACAAAATGTGTTGGGAATAAAGCTGTAAATCATAATGAGTTCAGCAAATCAGATCAAATCTTGATCTTTGAACCAGGAATATTTAAATTGTCACACTAATTCATCCCCCAATGAGTTGATACGTTTATCCGGCTTTGGAAAATAGAAGACGACTAGCAGTAGCTCTATTTTGGGGAGATGAGAGAGAATCTGAGAATTTCTATCATTTTCACAGGGAAGACTCCAAAACAGATGATGTAATTTTCGAGCATAGCACAGGTCAGGTCCACAGCCTCTGCCTGACCAAATATCTAAATCCATTACTTGGCTACTTAGGGATATTATTCAAAGCAGTGACCAGCTGCCACCTCGGTCTTTATGTGCATTGGCGTTTGCCAGCTGATACTAAATGATTGCCTTTGTCAGGAAACCGTCCCTTCTCATAAATTGTTAGCTCAAGCTGAATCCTGGAGTCAGAAGCCAGGCAGGAGAGTGCCTCTTCTCCCAGTAGGACCCGATGCTCTGAGTGCACAAAGATTTTTATACTCATCAAGTTCAGCAACCAGGACAGGCAGCTGCCGGGAAGCAGCACGGCCCTGGCAGCCCAGGGCCAGGCACCCCTCGGCCATCTGTAGGCACCCCGAAGTGCCTGGTGTGGGTGTTACTAACTCACTACTAACTGGCTGTGAAATGTCCTTGCATTAACAAAGGCACTTGCCCCGGGGCACATAACAAGGGAGGGCAGCACCACAGATTTTGCAGCCATGTGGTTGCCCACCTCATTTATTAAAATTCATTTATTAAAAAGACCACCAACAGTTTGCTCTGAGTCCACTCACAGAAAACAAGACCACTGCTCTCCTAAGCCGGTCATAAACTGAGGTATATGCCACTTTGGGAAAGTTGAATTAAAGTGGAAAATAATACATAGGTACCAAAAAAGCTATCTTAAAACCCCTCAAATCAGTACCATTTCTCCTATCTTTTTTTTTTTTTAAACTCTAATTCTGGAGGAGTTGAAATATTCGCCTTGCCTGAGTTAGTGCTGCCAACGTGATGTTGCTGGAACCACTTACATAAATTTTCATACTACATCAATGCACTGAGATTTTCCACTAGCTGCAGTAAAACAGACTCATGTTTTTGGACAAAAAATCGATTTCACTTTGCACTTTTGCATATGTGGTATGTGGAAAAAAAAGAAGAAGAAAAAAACAAAAAACAAAAAAACAAAAAATCACCGTGAAA